ATTGCTTGTGTCTGCTAAGAGAATAGTACAAATAAGAAACTGACCCTAAAAAGCAGACCATAAAAAATGATTCTGAAAAAACCAAAACTATCTCATTTCCAGAAGTAGAAGTCTCTTTCCTGTGATTTGTACTCACTAGTCCCCTAAAGTTACAGAGAACAGGTTTAATGGCTTATTCGCATCTTGTGCCCTTAAAGATTTAAGGACAGCTATGATGAAGACTCTCAACTCAATATATAAATATACGTAAACACACGCATAAAATTTCTCCATTCTGAGGATCTTCTGTCCTCTCACTCATTCTTCATACAATAGAATTCTCCAGTTCTTCATTGAGCAAATTTTCCTCCTTCTGGAGAAAAATATTTTAAGTCATTATTTGTCCTTTTGAGTTACGGCATTCAGAACTGAAGGTAAAGGTTTAATTACAACAATTTAAATGGAGCACGGTATTCTATATAGTAAATATACCACAGGTATAAGCATCACCTGGACAAGATTTCCAGCCCTACGATTATTTTATTGAATACTGCCTGGCTCATTGTCAAAGTGTTGGTCTGGAAAAGCTGTTATAGCTCTTCACAGAGTGCCAGCCACATGAGGACAATGTTCCTCTTAGTCTCCTTATTTCAATGATCATTTCTTTGACTATGTGTGTGTGATGCTCATTATGTTCATATCTTCCTACAAGGTATGTCCACTGGTGCAATGAATATCACTTGCTAATTTTAGGAAAGCCCTTAGAACTACATCCTGATGTTGAGAAGACACTATCCCTTTTAACTCACCCTACATAAACCACTGAGTGATGGACAGATTTGCTAGTAGAATTACAATGGCTCATACTGAGACTCTCCTGCCCGAGTGGCAAACATTTGCATACATAGTGACTCTCCATTCTCATGGTCATACTGATTGGACCAAGGCTTTCCCAAAACCAGACTACAGAGATCAAAAGTGGAGGGGCTTTCATTTGACAGTTTACCTTTGCTTAGCAATAAGGTCCTGTAGCAAGGAGGCAGGGGCAAGAATGCTCAGGAGAAATTAAGGAAACTCAATATCTTTGTACTCACAGCCCATTCACTCTCTAAATTTTTCATACTGGCATCTTGCATCTAGTTTCCAACTTTGTAAAGCGAAATTGGACTAAAGGATTTCTAAAGGCTTTTCCAGCTCTAGCATTCTTTTATGCTTTTTAACAGTTCAAATATGTATTGAGGCCTGGTTGTGTGCAATATGGAGTAAAGGAGTAAGGAGAAGTTGTACTGCATCATGGAACTCTAGATCATTTTCATGTCCACATGCAGGTTAATGGGTCTGAGGTTTCCCCTAAGTAATCCTGGGGTTTCTGTGGAAGTAGAGACTGGATTCTCAGAATAAGTTCCTTTCTAGGTTTTCATTACTTCTATGAAATAAATGATAGATGATGAATCAAGGGGAGCTTTAAGACACATAGTAAAATGGGATAAAAGTGACATTAGTAAATGTAAAGATCATCACAGGATGTGACATGGATGGACTATATGGCTGGGCCATGGGAAAGGAGAATGCTCCTTTCTGGAGATGTATTTCTTGTATTTATATTTATAACACAGGATATATTTTTTGCAGAAAATAAAAAGCACCTTAGCAACTTGGATAACCTGGAGAAGTTGGATGAGTTTACTAATGTGTAAAGCAAGAGGCACTTTTCTCAAGCATGATTATTACCGTTATTGAAACCTGATTATTCTCTGACTTCAAGATCTTTGCCTACAAGTTTAACCTGGGGGTTCAAGATGCTCCAGGACTGGTTGTATTATTTGTTGGAAAAAGGAAAATTTGTGTCTCATGATCAAAAGGCAGGGGGAAAGTGCCTTTAGGTAATAAAATGTAAAGTTCTTTTAAAAAAGATCTTATTACTTATAAAACACAGTAGACTTTATAATGATACATGCTTGAGATAAATGTAGAAGTTGCAAAAGTTTTTTGGTGTAGTAATTTATATGATATTATACTTTACTAATGTAATATCTAGAGTCATTGTAAGATTTTCTGGCTCGTTTCCTGCAAATTAATGTATTAGGTTATCAAAATGTATGCCTTTAGCAACTTCATTTTCAAGCACTATAATCGAAGGCAATGTTAGGTGCTCTTGGTAAATGCAAGATTTTAAACAGAATTTTTGATGATTTCTAATTTTGAGAAAGATATGGCTGGAGATACCAGAGCTCTTAAAAGTATTTTTTATATTGTGACAGAATTAGCATAAGTGTATGATGAATTAATTGAAATAAACATTTTAGTAAATCTAGGGTTGATGTTTCCAGTGGAACAATTTTTCTAAAACAATACAAATCAGTTTCATGGAAGTCTGAATTTCATCTTACGTGTAAAAACATACAATGGCATCTTAATATTTCCTCTGAAGTTCTCTGTAACTTGGGGAAGTGTTATAAGAAATAAAAGGGCTTCATCATATGTATATCATTGAGAATGTTTGTTTATGCATTCTATCACTGAATAGTCAGTTACAAGGAAAATTAAAATTACCTTCTATGATAATAATTGATTTATGCAAAACTTCATATGAAAATAATGGCTTTTGCATCAAGCTGCCACCTTTACATTTAATTTCTATTTCTAAACCTGCAGATATTTGCTTTGAAATGTTGTATTGATTTTCAAAACCAGTGTTTCTGAACTTTTTGAATGATTGTAATAACTCTCCACTATGCTTTATTGCAAAGTCCATGAATAAGCTTTGATTCTGTAATAATTTACTGACAAAATTTACTGCCACCTACTTTGAGGACACACAGAACACCAGAGAACCTTGAGTGTTCACCTACACTTGGAATGGCCTGATCAACTGAGCAGGTTACACGCCACCCACTCTACCCTTGAACTTGAGCCTGTGTATGTGTTCCTGTCATGTGTCTGCTGCCCCGTGTACCTCATCTGTTCATTCACATGCACCATCCTCTTATTGGACTTCACTTGAAAACACAATTTCAAAGAAAAAATGATGAAGAATTCAAGGCAGTGAGGGCAGAGCATTAGATCAAACTCCAGGCCCTTTCTGAGACCAGGGCCCTATGCGCTGCTCAGGTCACATGTCTAGGAAGTTGGCCCTAGTCCCAGATTCACTGGGGTGGTCTGGCTTGTCTTCATCTTGGTTCTCAGTATCCTACTCCTTTCCAATCAATGTCCGCACATTAACATAATAGACTTTGCAAGACTGGAATGCTAACCGTGTTTTAATTGATCCACATTCAGGTTTCAATTTGGGGTCTGGTTATCAAGTTTGTTTTGATGTGGCTACAGCAGAAACCAGATTCTTGTAGGCTAGTCCTGGAAGCTTTTTGTTCCCTTCCCCAGACCCTGAATGACGATTTAAAAAAATCATGGATAACAGATTCATCAAAATGCAGGCAGACTAATGGATTTTAATGTAACAAAATGAACAGTTCAATGAGTTCTTCTTTGAAAGACACTCTTTAGAAATAACCAAAACGGATAGTTTTGTCATTGATGTATGTAAGCACATTGCACAAATTTACCAATAGAAATCGTTTGCATTTGGTGATTCTGAAGAGTCTTCTATACCAGCTAGCTTAGAACACAAACTCTGATGTCAGACTTCCTGAGTTGGAATTCCAGGCCAGATAAACTCAATAATCATGTCAGCTCAGAGAAGACATTTGTGGTCTACAATCCCCACTTTATTCACCTGCTAAGTAAGCAGAAAGTAACTATTTACACAGTATTGTCAGTATCTAGATAATATACGTAATAAGTTAGAGTGCTTGACAAAGATCAACATTAAGTATTTTTAAATTATATTTGCTATGGGTTCCAGGAGTGAAAAATAAAAATACAAAAAAAAAATTCTGTCTTCATGTTCTCACTCATAAGCAGACCTTGAACAGTAATCATAATACTATAAGAAAGGGATTGGCAGTAGTGGGAAATTGTCAGGGGATGGGGGTGGATTTGGCAGTTGAAGGAAACTGCCAGGGGAGGGAGGGGCATACCTCATCAACAAGGGTACCTACATAATGAACATTTGTATACCTAACCCTGAATTGTACCCCACTGTCTTCACTTTTCCTAGAAAGTTAAATGACCTGAAATTAATGGAAACACTGAGTCATCTCTTTTCTATTTGTTGATTAGCATACATTTTTTCAAGCCTTTTTCATCAGAGTAATTTATATGCAATTTATCTGATCTCTGCCAGGGGATCTGTTTTAACAGCACAGTGGATACAGACATCATTATCAGTCACTCTAGTCGTTTCAGACTAGAGCTTTTTTCATGCAGAGGAATTTCTGGGAGTAAAAAGGTAGGAAGAAAGGCCAAGTGAAATGACAGTCCTGAATGCCTCATTTTAGCAGAGATAAAAGTGCAACAACATCAGCCAGGAAATCCAAAGCTGTGCACATGCTGCATGGGGGAAAACCCGCCTCCTGCATGGAAGAGGTGGGGCTGCAGACCCAGCTGCAGTTTGGGTCCAGGCTGCAGACTGTCTGGGAGCACTGTGCCTCCGCTGCACAGAGGTAGGTGCCTGAATCTTCTAGCTGGGAGGCTGTGATGTGCAACGTACTATAAAGTTCCTTAGAATTCATTGTTGACTTCAACCTTCCATTCTGCTTCATCCCTGAAGCCAGGAAAAACAGACTGATGAGGCCGCCCCCAGGATTCTGTCGGAACCACTGCACCCTGGTCACAGTGGCAGAAAAATTGCACCTCAGGGTAGGACTGGTTCCCTCCTGGAGTCTCAGGACTGAAGGGCTCTGCTCCACCTGCAACCCTCTAACCCCTGTTGGAAAGAAAAACACATGATGTCAGTGGGGAATTACCGATGCAGTTTCCAAACCTGTAAGCCCTTCCAAGAAACACCCATTAGGATGTAGGACAGACCAGGAGCTTGATGTCAGCTCTCCCTTTCCCAGTCCCCCATCTGGATTGGGCCAACTCACAGCAAGCCTGGACCCACAGAAGCCCCAGTAGGGCCCCTAGTCTCCTTTCCATGGCTTCTTGGCCGTTGCTGGGGCGTCTTCTCCCCGCCTCCGAAGAGTTCCACGTATTGGATCTAGACAAACTTGTTCTTGCAGACAATAGGTTTCACCAGATTCACTGAGCACCAGACACACTTGAGCTCTGTTTTTCATCTTCACGGGAAACTCCACCCACAGTGGCCCAGTGAGACTGCACGGTAATTTCTTCAAAATTGTGGATGCAACCAGTACAGATGAGTAGGAGGAAAGATTTCCAATGTCTAAAAATATGAGTTATTTTTAAAACACTTTATATATGAGAAGTTTGTGGGATGGTGTCAGGAAGGGGATTATATGCCTGAGAAGAATCTGTGTTCCAGTTGGGTTAAGTAGAGCCTTGAAGCATCAGAGATGAATGAACTTTATTTTCCAAATTGCATGTATGGACAGAGAGTTTGTGAAATCGATTATATTAAAATCTGATAAAGAAAAACTGTTCGATAGCTTGCATTTTGTATTAAAGAACAAATATAATTTTTTGAAATTCGTAGAGTTCTAGAAACCTATGACATATGATCACCATTTGCACAGAAAATGTTTTCAACAAGAGTTTGGTTGATTAAAAGGAAAACAGAATTCTCATTAAGTCCATCCTGTTTTACATTCTAACCTCTCACATGATTCTGTCCAGCTCTTTCCCCATATACCCTTCGGCCCACACAGCTGTTCTGATCAGGCCACACCTTGCTGATCACATTAAATATTGTCCTCTCCCTTTTCTCTTTCTGTTATATGTATTTTTCTTTGCTTCTCTTCTATGTATTCTTGTTTCTTTTGTCTCACAGAAGACATAAAAAGATGAAATATCAGGGATATGTGGAATAATCTTTAGGATAGTGAATTTCAGGAATTTTAGCTATAAAAATTAAAAGTTGAAAATAGGCTATACAGATGTTTTCTACTGAGCATCCATGGTCTCAATATCCTCTGTCAGAGAATCATCCCAGTGGATTTATGGACTCTAGCTTTCTGAGGTTTTTTATATAGTGGAAGAGCTGAAAAACTGAGATAAACTTTACACAAACATTCCCCATGTCCCCTTCCACTTTATGATTTGGTTTATTAGTCTGTTTTCTGGTCTCCCACATTTTAAAATCTTAATTGTCAACTCTCTGGGACGATCAGAAAAAACCTTTTCTAGTAAAGCCTAGAATGCCCCCTAGTGTACTGAAATCATCAACAAAGACACTTTGGATCTGCTAACTCACTCAGCAGCAGTCTCACAACTTTAGTGCCATTCACTTGATGTTTTCTGAAGAGGCTGCTGATGGTCACAAAACAAAATGACTGCCCAGATCGAATGGAAATTAAAAATGAATTAATTGTCATTTTTAAGTGAAAATGCCATTTCATGAAAATAAATATCTTTTAAAAGTCGGGTAATGCTCATCTTGTGCTATTGTTTTGACTTATTTTAGTGCAAAATCATTTTTTAAAAAACATTTATTGAAGTTTTACCATAAGCAAGTAATTTTTTAGGTCTTAAGCATCTATTTTTATGTTTAAATAAATATGTAAGGGGGATGAAACTCTTCTTTAGAGTCTACTGGGGTAGACAAAAATATACATATCTATAATACAAAAAAACACAAATGTTGGCTAAAAGCTATGTGATCCCAGAGGTGGGAGAAATACTTATATTTAGGAAGGCCAGACAAATTCTTATGAGGAAGGTGGTCATTTTCTTCTTTTCCCCCTTTTTTATGAGAAGAAAAGGAGAGAATGTGGATTAGCCTTTACGATGGCTTGTGTGACTTTTTGAAGAATTTATGAATATATTAATTATTAAAAGTAATAAAACATCATATATAAACTAAGATCCCCTTTGACCACCACTCTCAATTCTGGACCTATCAACGCTCATTACCCTAAGTCTCCTTTCATTTTATCAAATTGCAGTTGATATTTTCAGGTATTTTACTGCAGATTTTCATACATATGCAGACTATATGAAACACCTAAAAAATATATAGAATTTCATATACAGTTTTAAAATGAATACAAAATGATATGCCTTGGGCATAGCTTTTTGTAACTGACTTTATAAACTCAATAATAAATGTCGAATGTCTTATTAGATTCACACATTATGGGGCCTCTTGCTGCGCTGCACCACATTAGACCTATACTTCAGTTTGCATAGTGTTTCCCTTGTTGATTAACACTTAAGATGTTGCTTTTTAAACTATGAAATAAATAAAGTGCTTCAGTAAACATTTGAAAACTTTCTTCTTTATTCAGAGGTGTCCATGTGTCTCCAGAAGCAGAAACTAGGAGAAAGTGGAGGGATCCATGTGACAGGTAGTAAGAAGCACTTCAGGCAGAGGGAAGATCAGAGACAGAGGCTCTCGGGAAGAAGGCAGTGAACTCATGTGCTAATTACTGTGTTAGATGATTTTCTTTTTTATTACATTTTAATGCATTGGGGCAATAATCAGTCAACTGATCTGATAAACTGTGAAAGTGCTATCCTGGTACATATGGTGTGTAGTTTCTTCTAAACAGCCACAGTGGTCACTCTTACAATAGTAAGTCAGCAGGAGAAAGTATGTACCCAAGGAGAAGGAGTAGCAAATAAAGAGGGAAAGAGTGGTAAAATTACACTGGGAAAAGAAAAAACAACATTGGGCATAAAAATTGCATATATGTATATCTATACATATATAATCAAAGAGCACTTATTCTAAGAATTGAAATACACTTACATTTTGTAAAACAGTAGAAAAAAAGAAAACTAACATGCTACAAAAGACTTACTAAAACAGGAAAGAAAAAAATGAAAAGCATCCTGAGAAAAACCAAAATCTTAAAAATGAATCCAAACATATCAGTAATCACAGAATACAACCATATAAAAAGATACTATCTGATTGAATCAAAATTAAAAATCTTGCTACATATTTTGCTTGAAAAAAACAGAAAACAACCTCCACGGAAGATGAGCATATAGGACAGACTTCTTCCTGCTGCCCCATGTTCAAGGACTGAAGCCCCCTCCCTCATCCACTTAACCACCACACCTACCAAAGAGCATCCCAAAAAAAGTCAGTTCTTTCTTCAAATGTCAGTTCTGCTGATGGGGAGGTAAAGGAGTGCAAGAAGAGAACAGCAAAAGAGTCAGATGAATTGGCTCCTGCAAAGACGAGCTCTCAGACAAGAGAAAAAAATGACAGAGGTCAAAAAAAATTAACATTAAGACACAAAATAGGAAAATAAGAGAAAACTGGCAAAGATGAAATACCAACAAGAAATTACGACTCAACTGCAGAAAAGAACAAATCTAAACATGTGGAAATCCCATACTTTAATGTAGCAGAAAAGAAAAAGAAAAAAATCAAGTCTGAATAACAGCTTTTAGATTTCTATCAATTGTCCCTTTACCTCCTTTCTTTCACAATTTGGAGTATTTTATCAACTATCTGTACTTCTAGCTGCACATTTCTGATTCCTCTAGAAACTCACTTAAGAGAAGGAAGAAAAACCTGATCATCAAAATTGTATATGATTACCGTGTGTACCAGAAATTAATAAAGTGTTCCATCAAGGGAGGCTTCAAGGGTCTTGACTATGAATTTAGCATGTATTTACTTGGAGGATTCTTAGGGACGGAACTCTGTCCCATCTAAAACTTGCATATTGAAGCCCTAACCCCAGTACCTCAGAATGCGAATGTGTTTGAATATAGGGTCGTTAAAGAAGTAATTAAGGCAAAATGGGGTCATATAAGGTGGGCTTCAATTCAGTATGACAGGTGTTCTTATAAAAAAAAAAAAGAAAGAAAGAAATACCTCTGCACCTTCCTAACCAGAGAAGTTGAAAGACCTTTACAATGAGAATTACAAAACACTGCTCAAAAAAATCCAAGAAGACACAAACAAATGGAAAAATATACCATGCTCATGGATAGGAAGAATCAACATTGTTAAGATGTCCATCCTACCAAAGGCAATCTACAGATTCAATGCAATACCCATTAAGTTATCAACATCATTCTTCTCAGACCTGGAAATGACAATACAGAAATTCATATGGAAACACAAATGACCACGAATAGCCAAAATGATCCTTAGCAAGAGAAACAAAGCAGGAGGTATCACACTTCCAGACTCCAAACTCTACTATAAAGCTACAGTAATCAAAACAGCCTGGTACTGGTATAAAAACAGTCACATAGACCAATGGAACAGGGTAGAGATTCCAGAAGCAAAACCTCAATTCCTCAACAAACTCATCTTTGACAAAGCCTCCAATAACAACTGCTTGGGAGAGGAAAACCTATTCAGTAAATGGTGCTGGAAAAACTGGCTGAACACATGCAGAAGACTGAAACAGGACCCCTACCTATCACCATACACAAAAAATTAACTCTAAATGGATCAAAGATCTAAACGTAAAACCTCAAACTATAAGAATCTTAGGAAACACAGGAGATACCCTTATGGTAATTGGAACTGGCAACCAATTCCTATCTAGAACCCTAGAGGCCAATACCTTAAGAAATAAGATAGATAAGTGGGACCTCATCAAATTAATGAGCCTCTGCAAAGCAAAAGAAACCATCAAGAGAGCAGGGAGACAGCACATAGAATGGGAAAAAATATTTGCCAACTGTATATCTGACAAAGACCTAACATCTAGGATCTACAAGGAAGTCAAACGCACCGAAGGAAACAAAACAAATAGCCCCTTTAAAAAGTGGGCAAAAGACATGAATAGACACTTCTCATAAGAAGATATACGGGCAAATAACAGACACATGAAAAAGTGCTCAGACTCACTCATCATCAGAGAAATGCAGATCAAAACCACATTGAGATACCACCTAACCCCATAAGAATGGCCATCATTAATAAAACAAACAACAACAGATGCTAGCGAGGATGTGGAGAAAAAGGAACACTTCTACACTGCTGGTGGGAATGCAAACTTGTCCAACCTCTCTGAAAAACAGCCTGTAAATTTCTGAAAGAACTAGAAATTGGCCTTCCATATGACCTAGCAATTCCCCTATTGGGAATATACCCAGAGGAACTCAAAAAAATTATTCTACAAAGAAGATACCTGCACACAAATGTTTATTGCAGCTCTATTCACAATAGCAAAAATGTGGAACCAACCATGTTGCCCATCGAAGCTGAACTGGATAAAAAAAATGTGGTACATACACACAATGGAATATTATGCAGCCATAAAGAACAACAAATATATGGGCTTTGCAGCAACCTGGATGGATTTGAAGTCAATCATACTCAGTGATTTATCACAGAAACAAAGAACAGAGTTCCGTATGTTCTCACTCATAAGAGAAACTTGAACAATTATAATGCTATAAGAAAGCGACTGGCAGTAATGGAAAACTGTTGGTGGGGGGGAGGGGTGGGATTGGCAGTTGAGGGAAACTGCTAGGGCAAGGAGGGGCATACCGCATTAACAGGGGTATCTGCATGATCAATATTTGTATACCTAACCCTGAATTGTATCCCACATCTTTACATTAAAAAAGGAAGTTTGAACACAGATGTGTATACCCTCAGAGAGAAGGCCACATGAGGACACAATGAGAAGACAGCATCTGCAAGTCTCAGAAAAAACTAGCCCTGCCAACACCTTGATCTTGGACTTCTGACTCCCAGAACTGAGTGAAAATAACTTATTTACACTTCCCAGTGTGTGATATTTTGTTGTGGCAGAATTAGAAAAATAATATAAAGGTCAGTTTTCAATATCCCATGATATACCACAAGAATAAATTTGAAATTATAAGTATACATATAAAATATCTTCAACATTTTAACATTCAACTTTTTATACTTATGTTCTGGTACACTTATTTCCTAAATAAAAGTACTCTCTTATCTTAGATAGTCCCATAAGAATTGTGTATGGCAGTCTAATTATCCTGAAAACTTGGTTAATGTGCTAAAAAGATTGGAACTTTGTATTGGATGTATTGTTTGATTTAAATAATAGAATAGTGAGAGTTTCCTCATAAGTTACTTAACAAGCTTTAAAATATTTTAATATTTGCTATATACAGCCAGATAAGATGCCTCTAAATATTAAATAAGTTATATAGAATAACTATTTAGCAAGGATTATAATTACATGACCTACAGATCTTCAAAACTTATGGGAAAACTATGAAAATATTGTTCATGAGATCTATATATCAGTTACCAAGTAAGAATAAATATATATAAATACATCAAGGTGCTAAAACATATAACTTACATTGACTCTTTCAACATAAACCATAGGCTATTGAGTATAGCCTAGTTAAATTAAGTCTCAAGTCTATGGATAGTCATTGACCTAGTCAAGAAAGCAAATTCCAAGGTGGTCAGCTACTGCTGTTATGAAAGTCCACAACAAAGGACGCTGCATTGTGCTACTCATATCTTGAATGATACCTGAAGACTCGCTAAATAGCATAGGGAATATCAGATATTGAGTTTGTATTAGCAAGATTAGTGGCATGTTAAATAGGATAATAAATGTTAGAAATGGATTTTTAAATTAAGTATTTAAGATATTAGTTTCAATTAAAGTATTTTAGAGACACACTCTATGCTTGTATGAACAGAATGTAAAAATTAAGGACAACCTATACTTTGCACCCTTAAGAATGGTGTGAATAAATATTAAATATTTATAAATAATAAATATTTAATGCCTAGCAGATTCTGTGTCCAGTCAGGGATGTGCACAGTCAAACAAATAAACAAACTGTGTTATATTCATATAATTGGAAACTACTCAACAATGACAATAGTGAATACTGATATACAGAGAACATGGATGAACTTCAAAAACACAATGAGTAAAAGAAATCAGACACAAGAGAGTGCCTACTGTATAGCTGTATTGATTTAAAGTTCTAAAATAGTTAAAGTAAATCTGTAATGATAGAAATAAGAATGTGTGTGCCTTCAGAATGTGAGTTGACTAAAAGGGGACACAAAAACTTTCTGGAGTGATACTGTCTTCAGATTGTTTTTAAAATATCATTGTTTTCTTCCTCTATTTTAAAGAAATAGAAAACCATGTATATGTACCACATTTTCTTTATCCAGTCTACTTTTGGTGGGCAGTGGGCTTGGTTCCATGTGTTTGCTATTGCGAATAGTGAAACAATAAACAAAGAACCGAATAACGCATGTTCTCACACATAAGTGGGACCTGAACATGAACCACAGTAACACAAGGGAGGGATCAGCAGTCTCAGGACACTGCCAGGGGTGGGTGGGCACATAACAACACAAAGGGTACCTGATCCTAAAGTGAGGATTAGTTGGGGGCCCAAACTTCACCTGCACATACTTTACATATGTACTTAATCCTGATTTGTACACCACACCTTTATAATAAGGCAAAAAAATTACAATTCAAAAATAAGGATGAATAAGAGAGTTGCATGCAAGAAATGTGACTTGGAATTAAAATCTTCAGGCACATTCTCATCGGTGAATGAATGCCTATTTGTGTTGTAAGTTAAAATACCTTTAAAAATGGATTACCATTTGCCTCAATGGTATAGTAAAATTTTGTGTCAAACATACACAAAAAGTGAAAAATCAAAATTAATTTCATTAATATAAAAACATATTTCCAAATTCTTCTTTATATAATTCTTTATTGTAAAAAACCTTTCTCATAGTCATACAATAGTCATATAATTAAAATAATAAATAAGTAAAATAATAAATAAGTAAAACAAATAAAGCAATGACTAAATAAAACCATCAAGCAAGTTGACTTGTCAGCAGAAGTGAATGGGGTGATAGAGAATGCTCTTCAACGGCTTGAGATCTTTGGCACATTGAAGTCTGGTCCAAGCAGGAAAGATAAACTTTATAATAATTTTAACAGGAACATTTTAATATAAAGAATTATTAACTATAACAGGAGGTAGAATGACAAGAGAATGTATACTAAGGAGAAAAAAACCTCTGCTATTCCTATTCCTATTAATGTAGGAATAGCAAATATATCAGGTGCAGCCACCAATCCTAGGGTGGGT